ATGTGTATGCAAAGCATCTGATGCAATGTAGGCATCCAATAAACAAACAACAGCTGTTGGTACTTACTGCTGTTCATAGTAGCAACCTATTTAAGGAAATAACTTACTAGAATATTGTTAATTCAAGTTACTACTTAGAGATTTGTCATTTCTGAATTGGGGAAAATGGTGAAATAAATTGAGCATGTATTCTCAAGAATATATATTTGGATTTTTTTCCAGAAATATAAGAAGTGTTCCTTAGTACTTGGTTGAGATACATGTAAATGGTGGATTGTGAGTCTGCTGTTGTCAAGCTAAGGATAAAGATCTTTCTCCCCCTTCTTCTACTTACTTCTTTTGCATTCTTTGTGTTATAGTTAGAATAACTAGAAAATAAGAAATGAGAGTGATTCTGACATGCAATTAGAAACTAAGAAAACTAGAAAAATAGGGAAATGTTTGCCATAAAATGACTTTTAGAATGTATATCTAGTCTGTAAAGTAAGATACTGTTTTAGTTAACCATTAAGTAGATTGAGTAACACAATTATTAACAAAAAATAAAGCTTTGTAGACAACAGAAGGGATATGCATGAAAGTATTTTTTTAGATCCTTAGAAATACTTTTTATGGTCAATCTCTTAGAACACCTGTTTTTATTGCATACTTTAAGCACAGGTGCATACTAGGTGCTTAAGGCCCAGGTCCAGCTACCCATGACATCCATAACCAAGCTTATTATGTGATCTCTTTAGGTCATCAAAGAAGTCTCAAGGGTGGGAATTATAGAGCTTACACTTATTTTTAAATTTCCCTTACCGTATTTATTCTGCACCAACTATTCCATTTATATATGTCTTAAGCTATATTGAGATACATCAACAGCTATATGATACAGGATTGTACAGTGCTACTTCCAGAAACAGAACTACATTTCCATAAACTTCTCATGGTTCTCTGCATCCTCTTGTCTTGGTATTTTTCCCAGGTACCTCATCTACTTATGGCATTAAAATGGAGAAGGGCATAGATGTCTTTCCCTGTTTCTGAAACCTAATTGAAAATTGATTATATCTCAGCTAATAAAGTAGAATGACTTTTGTATTTTGTTGATTAGTTTGCAAAGCACTTTCACATATATACCATTTGACCCACAGTCTTCCTGGAATGTGGACAGAGTAAATATTCTTAATATCCATATGTTTCATTTTTTTAAACCCTAAAATCCATTAAGGTATAGGATTTTTTTCTATAAATAGATGACTCAGCTAAAAAATAACAAATCAGAGCTCAAATCCAGATCTCCTAACTTCTAATGACATGGAGTTAAGTCTTTTGAAAAAAGATGCTAATTGTTGGTCCTAAAACATCTTTCTGAATGAGGTCACCATGTGAGCTGGCTAACCACTATGTTTTAGTTTCTAGCAACTGTGTGATTTCTTACTGGCCTGGGTTCAGAGTCTGCCATAATTAAATAGCAACAATTTGTTTATATTCTATTTTACAATTTTTAGTAAGAACTAGGAATGTTAGAAGAATAAAGTAGCATTTCAGTTTGAGAGGCAGAATTGCATTTGGTTGAATATTTAGCCTCTGAAACCAGATTGCCTGAGTTTAAATCCCAGCTCAGCTGTTACTGGCTATGTGATTAAGTAACCTCTGTTTTCAGTTTTCTCATATACAAAATGAGGATAATGATGTGTACCTATCTTAGAGGGTTTGTTATAAGGATCAAGTGAATTAATACTATATAACAGTGCCTAAGATTCAGTGCCAGATCCGCAGTTATTAGCTTTAGTTGTCTGTATGTGTTTCCTTTGTAGTATTAATGAATTGGAAAGTACTGTGGGTGTGAGGGCAATCAAAAAGATGAAGGAGAAAGAAGTAACAAGGGAGCAAGAGGTGATAAAGTAGGGGAGTGATAGCCAACCCACCTGTAGATCTTAGCTGAGATTCCTGAGCCGCAGAGAACCATTTGGCTTCTAAAGGAGTCTGGCTTGTAGCTATTAGCAAATCCAGGTCCAAAGTTGTCTGTGCAGGCACTGCTCTTTTACAAACCTTTTGTCTAATGGAACAGTAAAGCTACATATCAGCAGTATTTTTCCAGTGTCTTGATTAGAGCTAAGAGTTTGAACCTTTGCCCCTGAATGATGAGATTCCATTTTTGCTTTTAAAGTGGCCCTGTGGCTTAAGCTATGAAGATCGTTTTCAGGGGCTTTTAAAATATAATAAGGTCACCTAGTGTGCTTATTCATACTTCATTTTTTTCATTTTAGATGCCCTTCACTATTTTCCATAATATTGTTGGCCAACTTAATATTTATCAAGTTCCAGGAGTACTATTGTGACACTGACAGCCGGCCTTCTATTTTTCTTGTTTCTGTGTATTTGCCCCAAACAGATGAGTGCCTAATTATTATGATGTTTAGCTGAGATTTGAGTCAAAATAGCTTAAAAGTTGGTCTCACTTGGAATGTCCTTGTCTCCTGTCTTCCTATTTATAGCCTACCGCTCTTCCAGGCACTACCACTTGAGCCCAATTTCCTAATTAGGTCTTAATATATCTGTGATACATCCATTTCTAAAAGCTATGCGCTTCTATCCTTAATTTAAATTTTACCAGTTTACTGGCCTATTCATTTCCTCTGTGTGTATATATTTTTACTTTACATAACAAGGTTTTTAAATTCCCATGGGCAGGGTTCTTACCTGTTACCTTTGAACTCCTCTCTTTCATTGCACAGAGTACATTGTTAACCACACTGCACCTGCATGGCTATTCTCAAACAGGCATGATTCTTCCACCTCACTCTAAAAACCTTCCATGGCCCATGCAGAAGTCTGACCCAGCCCAGCCGGGTCCTTGCCTCCTTGTCTACCTCATCTCCTTCAGGCACTCAGGATTTCTTCTTGTTAAATGACTTACACTTCTCTCGTAAGTTTTTCCTTGGCGGCTCATACCTCTGCGTGTTGCTTTTCTTTGCTTAGAGTGAAATCCCTGTGCCTAACTATCCTGTCACTCTCCTCTCCTACAGATCTTGTGAGTTCTATTAATCTTTAAAAATAAATTAAAGTAACCAAATATTTAACAGGGACAGTAATAATGATCCTGGCAAAAATAATGAGAGCCTGAACTAAGACAGTGACCATGAGGGTACAGACTTGATATATTAAATCTGTTATTTAGGAGATGGGGTTAACAAACTTCATTCGTCTTCAGGTGCAGAGGAAATATTAAGTGAAGAAACTGAAAATGTGGAGAGTTTTAAATTGATTGGAGCTTGTTAGGGGCTACAATAAATTAGTGAGTATAATAGTTTCAGAAATAGCCAGTATCTATTAAGCTCTATCATGTGCAAGTATGCATTAAGCGCTTCGCATTCATTATTTCATTTATTCCTCATGATAGCCTTCTAAGATAAGTACTATTTTTAACCCTATTTACCGATGATGAAATTGGGGCTTATGGAAGTCTTTTGGAAACATACTCTTGGTACCCTTTATATATGCTCAGAAGTGTAAAAATAATTAGGCCTGGAGCTATAGAGCTGTATAGATCTTTATAATAATTAGAAAATATTTTATGTATACTGATGATGAAAAGAATGGTTAACTTGAATGGCTTTAGACATACACTTAAATTGCCGTTGCAATAAGCCTAACAGCTCCCTATTGTCTTATACCTGCTCAACTCAGATTATCTTTCTGGCCTCTGTTTACAAGGGGGGCAAAGGTAGATTTACAGTTAAGAGTGTGGAAAACAGTGTATTCTTGTATCATTATTTATTAATTATTGTATTATTTTTCATATGAGCAACTGTAAACCTACTTTTACCCCACCCTGTATAATGAGTTTGATATCCTTATTCAAAGACTTTAAATTTAGAATTCTCCTTCAAAAAAATGTAAATGAGATTTTTGCATTAAAAAGAACAGCAAACCACTTGACATCTTTGTGTAGAGTGTTGTATACATAATGCAACGTTGTACAGAGAGAATTGGTCAGGCATCTATAGAGCAGCTGGAGAAGGGACAGCTATGCAATCGGGGGGAAAACTAGGTGTGTGTGGGTGTGAGGTGCAGCTGTGGAAGAGGGATGGGATGGACCACCTGGGCATTGCCAAGGGAAAACTGATGTAACTTGGTGACTTCGGAGAAGGGTAGCTTCCACAGTTTTGAAATAAGGAGTTTGTCATATATTCTCAAGTCTAAAAGTAGAGCTTGTTTGGAATAAAGATGAATTTTGTTTTAGCTCTCTATCCTTTGGCAAGCCTTTTTTCTCCACATGAAAAAGAGGGAAAAGGGGTCTAATCATGCATATAAATATTTATTTTATACCGCAGAATAACATAAGGCTCTTACTGCTTTATGTGGTCTTTTGGGATGTTTATGATTTGTGAGCTGTGCTTTTTGAATCTCCTTTTTTTTCCAGTAAGAGTAAATTAATAAAGGAATTTTTTAGTTGCTCTAATAGAGAAGAAAAAGACAGATTTTCAAAATTCTATTAGTCTGTATCATTCAAAGACTGTATCATACAAATAGTTGTGAGCATTTCTGGGAACTGGCTTTGAATAACCCAGACAGCGTGACCTGAATTTGAAAAAATTGAACAAGGGGCCACTGGTCTTGAGCCAAAATCATACAAGCAAAGAAAAAGCAGTCATTCATGATTGTGAGATAACCATAGGATTTGAGCCAGGAGGTGATACAATAATTGAGCATACAGTCACTTAGGAACAGTGGGCCATACCATAAGGAGCACAGGTCCTGCGCAGGCAGGTTTCATGCTCACGTGGATCATCTGGCCCTGTTGTGCACGAGCAGCACTGCATGGTACCTAATGACCACTGTCAGGTTGTCACCTGTACAATTTTAACTTTTTAAAAGCCTTTTTAATTTGGAATGTTTTAAATACGTTTTTTTTAATACAATAGATTTAATTCTCTTTTTTACATATGGTAAGATACAGTTTTTTTGTACAGTTCTGTGGGTTTTTTTTTTGTTTGTTTTTGTTTTTTAAATGTTCCCAATAGGCTGAATGCTAGCAAGGTAGCAGAAAGAAAACCTAGCGGTAAAATGTTTTGTGGTCATGTCCATGGCAAATGAACAGTTCTGTGGGTTTTGACAATGCATTCAGTTGTATGATATTTCAACTCCATCAAGATACAGACCAGTTTTAGCACTACCAACATTTTTCCCCCAATTTTTCTTATGCTGCCTGTATACAATCAGCACTGCCCCCCACTCCCAGCTCCTCGCAACCACTGAGCTGGCTTCTATTCCTACAGTTTTGCCTTTTCCAGACTGTCATATAAGTGGAGTCATACAGTAGATATCTTTTGGAGTCTTGGCTTTTTCACTTAACATACTTAATATGGAAATATTTTGAAGTCTAGTAACAACAATGATCATTTTAGTTAGTTAATAAAAAATCTAGTACCTCAGTATACTGAGAACCTATGGATCATGATATATTTGGAATGATGAAAGCTGGATATTTGGAAGAATTAATCACTAAAACTATATAATTAAACTTTTTAAAATTTTTAAATTTCTACACTTTTATCAGTGCTATACCTGATATAATTTAGTCTAGGATTTAGGACTCTTAATTTCTACTGAAGAGAGGGAAATTTTATTTTTTTAAAAATGAAAGCTGACTTTAATTTTGAAAATTTGTATTGAAAGCAGGATGCTGTAATAATGTTTCGCTGTTTACCATTAAAAATTTTCATGATTTTTCATGTTAATTCTATGGCTTTTTCCTCCAAAAAAGTCTTACAATATAACTGAAAAATTCTTCAAAGACATGTTCATTTACAGAAATGAAGAGAATAAGGTACAAAAGTGCTCCTTAGAGCAAAAAGCAATTAGCAAAAGCTAAGGAACATTTTCATAATGAGTAAGTCAGAAATATAAGATCATCAGGACCATCCAGGAAGTGATGGTGAATGCCAGGCAGGCTTTAAGAGATAGGAAACATTTAGCATGTTGGTAAACCATTTAGCATATCAGCAAAGGCATATTAACAGTTTTAGGACTGGAAATTATTACCATGGGGAAAAGCAGCAATTAGAAGATTTTTAAAATTTATTCTTGAGTTGTTCCTCTATGCCTGTGTAACACAGCATAAAAGATAATTTATAGAATGGGAAAGATTATATCTAAAAAAATTTTGGAATTCTTAAAAGAAAACCAATAAAGAATGTAAAATTATACTGGCAGACATTTTTAAAATAGGGGGGAAAAAAAGAATCCCCTCAACATCAAGTATGAATTAAAGGAAGCATTGGCAATATATATGGTACAGGTTAGTGGGTAAGAACTTTTAAGTGCTGCACCAACTGCTTCTTCAAATTCTGGCTCTACCATTTTCTAAATATGTGACCTTGGATAAATTATCTCACCTTTTGCATCAGTTTTCTCATTTTTAAATAGGATTTTTAAATAGGATTGTTATAGGATTAATACATGAAAAACTTGGAACACATCTACAAAATAATATGTTAGCTATTATTAATATATTCTAAATTCTCCTAAAGGAAATCTTTCCAAACTTGTGTAGGTGATTATCAAAAACCAAAGGAAGAATCATGGTACAAAAAGTCCATAGGATTAAAAGCATTACACAAAACACATAAACATTCTGAAGTAGTTTTTTCAAAGAAAAAAAATAGAACTAACTTTTCCCCTTGATTTTTACTTTTTAGAGTGGTGAAACCAGAACAATATCTCACTTTCATTATACTACCTGGCCAGATTTTGGAGTCCCTGAATCACCAGCTTCATTTCTCAATTTCTTATTTAAAGTGAGAGAATCTGGCTCCTTGAATCCCGAACATGGGCCGGCAGTGATCCACTGTAGTGCAGGCATTGGGCGGTCAGGCACCTTTGCTCTAGTAGATACCTGTCTTGTTCTGGTAAGTGCATCTTATGATCTAATTTTAGGCTTGTTTACTTTTGTTTTCATTGACAGAAGTAAGGTCTAATGTCAGTATCCTAGAACTGTGATTTTTAAACTTAAACTTCTGCCCTTTGACGGGGAAAAACCTGAGAAATTCATTTATACTCTTTCAGTTGTACTTGTAGGGTATAAGAACAGTTGCGTCTTAACACATCTACTGTATTACTTTAGTACTCAGCCTGTATATATTATACTTCAATCAAAAATTAGATTGTTACATTAAAGTGAACTTTGACGTGTTTAAAACTCCAGTGTTCATTCTGTTAATGATGAGTGTTAAAACTGAATCATGTGTGTGTCTATTCCCTGCTGAATGTAATTTCAGCACTTTTTTCTTTTTCAGTTTTGGGGGAGAATATTGTGGTTATAATACCAGATCAATAGTCCAGGGCTGGTGCAGTGGCTCAGCAGTGTCTTTGTGGATCTAGGTTCTTTCTGTCCTCCTCCTTCACTGTCTCCAGAAGGCTGCTGTACACAGATATGAAGGCAGAAGGGCACTGGGCAAAAAGTTTTACTCTTGACAAGAAGAGCAGTTCTTCTTTATATTATGCCAGATTGTCCATAAATCCTTCCTTAGACCAAACACTGGCCACAGTGAATGAAGTTGTTGTGATTGATTCAGAATTGATTACGAATCAGTTAAAGGACTAAAAGTCCTCAATCTACTACTTGAAACAGGTCAGGCGTGGGGAGGATGGGTGTCTGGGGATGGTGGTTTTGTATATAACTTAGAGCTTCAGTGATAATTTATCCTCAGTTTTGAGGAAGAACATAGGATTTAACAAAACTCTTAGCAATTATCCTTTTTTGCTTCTCTTTCCTGGACTCCAAAACAAAGGGCTTGAATAATTTACTTTCTGCCTTTCTTGCAGATGGAAAAAGGAGATGATATTAACATTAAACAACTGTTACTGAATATGAGAAAATATCGAATGGGACTTATTCAGACACCAGATCAACTCAGATTTTCATACATGACTATAATAGAAGGAGCAAAGTTTATAAAGGGTGATTCAAATATACAGGTAAACTTTTTCAGGGGAAAAATAATACCTGTGTAATAAATATGATCAGCATCAAATAACTGCACTTGATTTAAGCACTTATATTCTCCCTTCTTTCCAAAAAGCTTAGTTAAATTAATGTGATAAATCCACCTGGCTATCTTAAAATTATAAAATTAAACTCACTACCTCATACATGCCTGAGCCTCATGTGAAATCCTTCCTATTACTCAAAAGCTCTATTGGGAACAAGATTACATTAAAGAAAATAAAATTTTCATGTAGGGAGGGTTTAAGCATTTGATCATTAAAATAAACCTGAAAATTTACATGCTTTTACCCATTAAAAACTTGGCCTGGGATTACAGAATACATAGTTTATATAATAAATATTTCATTTTATAATAATGAGCAACTTGAGTATTTATGACAGATATAATAAAATTCCAGTGGAATGTTATATTTTCTTGGGTTGGTGGTTTTATTCTCACGAAAGTATTCTTATTCCACATTTGCAAAAGCTAAGTTCAATGACTGATTATCAGAAGCCATGTTATGTACTAACATAAAGTATAAAGTAGAAACAGCAAAGTAACAACAACAGATCTCCATTTCTTGTCTGATCTGATCACATAGTGTTGGACATAAATTAATAGAATCTCTTTCTTTATATTTCTCTTTTATGAACACATTTACCAGCTCTTTAATTTCTGTAGTTACTAGCTAAAACAATATTTTGAATAAGTCTTTTAAGTTTCATTGAAAAATTTTTTGAATCTTTTAATAGCATTTAAAAAAAATTTTATTGAAGAGAAACATTAGGTTACTCAGTGTCATCAGTTTGTAAAACAATAAGTATGTAAGATTAAGGCCCACAAAACATGAGGCCCTACTTCAGAAGTTAGACTTTTGGAACATCAAGTTTGCTTGGCATTGAACAGTGATTTAAAAAATTATCTCAAGTGTTTTAAGATTAGGAAAATGTCTCTCTGCTTTTACTTCAGTGACCATTTACCATTTTAAATCTGGAATTTTAAAAAAAGTTAACTAGTTAGACCAAATTTTTCTACTGACTTGCGTAGCCTCCGTTGTTGCCACTCATTGCTTATTTCCTGGTGGTTCTTACAGAGTGAGTAATTGTAGGGAAAGTGTGCTATCCTTTGAATAGTATTCTCCCCACCAGTTTAAAGTTTTTCAACTTCTGTTTTTGTAGTTTTAGAATATATATATTACTTTGGAGATCTTTTTCACTACAGAGATGAGTTATATGGACACATTTTTTTATGTGTGGTCTTCATTATTATGACAATGCACATTGTGGCCTTGAAGAATGTTTTCTGCCCCAGTTTATCTGATGTGTCATAGCCATCACACTGTCAGTTTGGCATCATTAGCATCCCATTAAAAATCCAAAGCATTTTCTGCCCCAGTTCCAGAAAGGACATTGGAAATGTCTCTGGATTTTTCAGGTGCTCAGAGTCTTTGCTACACCTTTGTTACCAATATGTTTTTCATTTGGAAGGGTCAGTTTCCACAAAATTATTTTAGCAAAACCAGTAATTTATGAGGTGCTGTGAGGTTTTTTTTTAATTATAAAAATGATTAATGAGTACATGTTGGACATAAAATAATTAAAAGAGTATGGAAATACATCATGTACAAAGTGGAAGTCCTTGTTAACTCACCCACCCCAAATTTGTAACAGTTTTGGCATATATGTATTCTTCCAGGCACATGTATTTATGTATGTGGACTTGTTTTTCTTTACATAGATGTTTTTTCATCTAGAGCTCCACTATCCAACAATATAGCCATTAACTACATGTGCTATTGAGTGTAGGTTTCCCCACCATCTGAAAATGGAAGATTCCCATATGAAACTTTTGTAAGCTGAAATGGCATAAAGCAAAGAAGCAATTACTATTATTTTATATGGGAACATTTTTGTGCATTCTCAGACCCAAAAAATAACCTACAAAACCATACCAGATAATACATAAAACTTGCTCTAGCTGGCGTGGCCCAGTAAATTGAGTGCCAGCCTGTAAACTATAGGGTTGCCGGTTTAATTCCTAGTCAGGGCACATGCCTGTGTTGCAGGCTGGGTCCTCAGTTGGGGGCATACAAGAGGCAACCACACATTGATTTTTTTTCTCCCTC